CCCCGCCCCCTGCCGCCATGCTGTCCGCTTGCGTGTAGCGTGCGGCGGTGCGGTTTCCCTCTGTCGCTTGCTCGACGGTAGAGAGGGCGGAGGCACAGAGCAGCGCGGGCAGCCCGTTCACTACCCTCCTCTGCTTGTGAGCAGCTCAGCGTGGGCCCGGTGCTGGGGCTGTTCTCGAAGGCAGACGCAGGCTGCCTGCACTCCGGGATCCTGCACGGGCTGGGTCGGCAGTGCCGGTCCCTGCCAACGCAGATATAGTGCTCCCAGCCACTGAGGGATCTGTGCTCCCCCTCGCCCCGCGTGAAGTTTGTGGCCTCTCCCAGTCCCACAGCGTAGCACAAGCCAGCAAGAACAGCGTTCTTCCTCTGCGTGACGCACTTTCTAGGAGGCAGATGAGGAGCGAGGAGTTGAACACCCAACTTCGTCTTAGCTGGCAGGCATGCGCCTGTTTACCCACTGTTTTTCTCTCTTAAGAGCCGCAGGCTTCTGGGTTCCTTCTCAGGATGTTCCAAAGCTAACCAATGAAGCATTGCAGAAACGGGAAGATAACCAAGTCCAGATGCCCGTTTATGCCCGCAAATCATCAGGTGCCCCTACAGCACACACACAACCAAGACAGGGCGCCTTCCAAAGTGCCTCCTACCTAGCTGGACAAGGTTTGCATTTCAACATCCCTAGTGGGAGGAGAGAGAAGGTAAACATATCGAGGGCCGCCGCATGCTCTAAAGGCTCAGTGACTGACAGCGTCTGTAACGTGCCAAACCACGTTTGGAAGACCTCAAGGCTAGGTTTTCGTGTTTATTAGGGATGGCTACGTTAGATTCCAAAATCAAACCAGGGAAAGGCGAGTTAACTGCCTTGGGTTCTTGCCCCGTGACAAACCCAAGCGAGACAATGCGGGCAAACCCCCGCTACAGGCTGAAGCTAGTGGCCCCTGCGCAGCCCGGTCGTGGCCAGGAGCTGCTCTTGCCCTGCCTGGAGCGGAGTGCCACCAGAGCGCCCCCAGCCCTTCCCTTGTCCCCAGGGCCTCTGCCTGCCCGGACAAGCCCAGGCAGTAGCAGACTTGGCCAGAGTCAGATACGCTCCCTTCCCCTCCTCTCAAGACGTCTGCCGTCCTCTGCTGGCAAGAGCCTGGTGCGCACAGCAGCAACCAGAAGCGAGCGTGCAGGCCCAGCCCTTGTGTTACGGCACCAGTTTAATACTGGGTAGGAGACGTTCTTGTTTTGTGGGGTTTCCTCTCTTGTACAGAGGAGAGCAACTCTGGGTTCCTGTCAGGTTGGCGTTGGCCTGGGAAGGTGCGCTGCCTTTTCTACTGTGATGTCACCGACTGCCGTTGACATCACAATCTGTCGCTGCTGTGTGAGGTAGCAAGAGCAGGGCGACAGCTCAGGGCTGGCCCCGCCGCTTGGTCACTCTGTCGTGAAGGCAAGGTGAGCGGAGCGATTTTGGCTCCCGCCTGAGCAAGCGGAGTGTTTGGTAGCTGCAGCTTTGCAGCTATGTTTAGAAAGCCAGGCCAGGATGTACGCTGGTATGGACGTGCTGCTTTGGAGACTTTTACAACGCCTGCTCTCTTTTCCCCAAGTGCCTTGTCCACCTACTCAGCTGGGGTGGGGGGACGGCCTGGTGAAGAACACAAGGGCAGCCTGCGACCTCAGTGTCAAGCTGGCTGAAAGCAACAGCAGATTCTGCGGGCCCCAAGCGCCTGAGCCCTTCTCTTTCCCGTAGGCAAGCTGCGAGCCAAGGGCCTGTTCTCCAGAGCCCTGGAGTCTGCAGGCAGGACCAACGCCAGCTGCAGCGTCCAGGCAAAAGTAAGCTGACGCGATCCTTAAGCACAGCTCGCGCTGCTGATTTACGTTTACAGGAGGGATTGGTTTCACGGAAAGAGAAGGCTGTTGTGCAGTGGCGACGAGAAAAACGTGTTCGCACGCAACTACACGAAGAGAGCTGTTGGTTCCGCATGGCTCAGCCATGCAAAGGCAGGAATCGCAACGTGGAGGCTTCATGCCACAACAGGGGCCTTTTCTCTGCAATGCGGAAAGAGGCAATGATTGCCTGCTGCTTCCTAGGCAGCTTTCCTCGTCCAGGTCCAACTCTCTCTACGCTTCCTGTAGCTGATGAAGAGCTTTCAGCCCCCCGTTGTTGTCAGCTCTTGTCAGAGGCAGAGCAAGAGCTCCCAGAATGCCTGGCCTTGGGCTGCGCCTGGATGTCCTCGTGACCATGACAGGCAGCTCTGCCTAGGAACTAAGAGGCTGGCCCTCTGTGCTCCAAACAGAGAAAGGTGACCTTATTGATCAGTGTTTTTGGGCTGAAGGGAATTAGTTTCCCTTCCCCTGTCCTGCTTGCAGCTGCTGAGCACCTGACAGAAGCAGGAGCAAGTGACAGAAGCAGGACAATGCCTCCTGCCCTTCTGCCAACACAAAGAGGACGAGGAGAAGACCTAAGCTAGAAGCACCCACGAGCTCACTGACCTTTTTCCCTCTGGACTGTTTTTCAGGAGCTGTCCGGCTCATTGTGAATCGTTCTAGTTTGCATACTGTCTCCTCAGCGCTTTGTGCTCCCAGTTCTGGGCAGTACTGCCAGGTAAAGCTGAGGGAGACACTTTTCTGGAGAGTGGGGGAGAACTGTATTGGCCCCGGTGCTGACTGGACGGTGGGCAGGAGAAATAGGCGTGAATGATGTCCCTTCCGTCTTCAGACAATCACCTCGCCTCGCCTCCCATAGGCATGAAGTTAGGCCCTAGCTTTGTTGGCCGCAGTTCTCCTGGTCTGCAGTTAGTCCTTCACGCCTAGCTCCCCACTTCCAATCCTTGCCCTACCGAATGCCCCAAGGCCGCAGTGGGTGAAACCTTGCCCCCTGACTGGAGCTCGGGCGGGAGCAGGCCACTTCCCGCGTCAGCAAGGCCAGGTGCAAGAGCTGCAGTGGCTGCTGCTGCTGCTCTGCAGCCTGCTTCGGACCTGCACAGCTCCAGCCAGCTTCACTCTCCTTCTCCTCCCTGCTCCTCCGTAGGCAAATGAAGGCTCACAAGACGATTCCCCTGGTGCTGCTTGTCTGCTTTCTTTCCTTTTTGGTGAGTTTTGGTAGAGCTCGGCAGTGACGAGTGAGTGGGCGGCTCCTTAGGAGAGACCCAGTGCTTCGTTCTGCCCAGCTGCCTGTAGGCGGCTGTGGTCAGAATAGGCCAGCTAGGAGCAGGCAGTCCCTGAGAGAGGGGCTTTTCCCACCCCTCCCGCTGCCCCCAAGGAGA